GCCTCTGTCGCTGCCAGCTACTTGGCACCCGTGTCCCTTCTGGGTCTGTTGACCGCCATGCTCCAGCTGTAAATGTCCCTTTCAGCGCAATGATTTTTGACGCATCATTTATGAAACGCGCCTCGAAAGAGGATACTTGGCTGGACCGGGTATGGTAATGGTTGATGGATTGCGATTTTCTTTTTTTTTCTGGCTGTACCATTTTTCCCCTTTGCGTTGTCCTTGGTGCCCTATGTCTGCAATCTATTCTTTAGGTTGCCCGGATGTGTTTATTTGGCATAATCCGGTGGGCAGTTTTATTTGGGCGGACATCATGTATCTATCAGCGTCCCACATAGCTTTGCTATTGAGCAAATATGCAATAATATCGAGTCCATTGACTCTACTGAATACTTCAAATCATTTCCAATTCCATTGTAGTCTACGATCTAGATTCTCTTCACCGCTTATTTCTTGTTGCTGCGCAACATATGTCTCTCCGCTTCCCATTTCCATCATGTTCGTATACCAGAACCCTATCCTACATCTGCATCGTATCCACATCGATCATATGCATGTTTGTTTCTGTTTTATTTATATTCGGGTTACATGCACATCCACTAGGTGTAATCCACCCGTGGACCATCGGCTTCCCGGATAAGAATACCAAGAATACCGAGAATATCTATATTAAACCTTCACACCGGAAAAATGGATTTTCTGTGAACCGTGGTTCGGGCAGTTGATTGAACTTGATTGTAATGAGCCTGTACTTGGATTGGTCGATGATGAATTGTACCTCATAAGATGTCTGTAGTCGGATTGGTTGATCGGACGACGATTGTGTTGCTGAACCGTGGATGATCAAAAATAGGTCGGATCCATCCATACATACAGGTATGTATATATAATTTACATTACTCCGTAATCAGTACTGGGTTCCAAGGTTTGCTTTGGATATGAATTGTGTATATTTATGCTGTATATTGTAGTGTATAAGGAACTTGGTAAAATACTGTCATGGCTCATTATTGCATCTAACTCATCTCATCTTCTCGGATAGAAACGCCCAAAAGTCAAAGAAAGAAAAAAAAAAAAAAACATCGACTCCCCAACCCAGCCTGCAAGTAGGTAACCACAGTAACAGCTTAAAGAAAACCCTCCAAATTCAAAATCAAAACTTTCGGACCCTGATCAAAATCCGAGCTTCCCCTCATCGCCCCCAGCCCCCCTGTGGAGACCTCAATTCACCAAGTGGACCCAGCCCCAGTCGCACGCCGCACATCCCTCAATTGGCGTGATAACCGTAACACCGAGTCAGCAACGGGACGATGGTGCGTGGCCGCGACCCGGAGCAGAGCAAGGGTTGCCGCAGGCCGGGGTGTGTGAGTGGGTTCAGTGGATGCAGTGGAGGCCACGGCAGAAGATGACGACTCTGTCAATGCAACCGTATTCGCATCTGCATCTCCTGACGATCGTCCGCGGAACAAATATGCCCCGAACGGTCCTAGCGGGAGCGAGTCAAGCACGGAATATAGTCGGTCGCTGCTGCTGTCGTCGGACGAAGAGCGGTATTTGTGGAATGCTGGGCTTCGTCGTTCTTCGCGCGCTACGATCCCGTCTACCGCTTCGAGGTGGTCGTCTAGTGTTGTGAATCGCGTGTTGAGCGAGTCGGCTTTGCTGCGGATTTGTGAGCGCAGTCGGCCGAGGTACTCTTCGCGTCGTCGCATTTGGACTGCGAGTCGGGTGTCTAGTGCTGCTGTGCCGCTTATTTCGGTTGTTGGTCGTGAGGCGAGGAGGCTGTCGATTGCGGAACGCAGGTCTGCGCGTAGAGAGTCGAATTCCCATACTGCTGTTTGCACAGCTTGATTGCTGCCGGTGAATTCCAGGTCTAGTGCGTTGCGAGCGTCTGGGAAGGTTGATTTCAGTTGTGATTCTAGGTCGGCCAGCATGCTTTCGCTTTGTTTGAGGATTGCGGATAGAGGCGTGAGGGTTTCGAGGGCGGTATCGAATATGGATTCCAGTTGGCGCTGGGAAGTTGCCAGGGTTTCTTCTGGGGGTGTTGCAGATGGGTGGAAGGTGCTGCGGGGTGGGTATGTCGTGGGGAAAGTAATGCAGCTGCTGGGGTATAGAGTCTTGATGCTTGGGATTTGGCAGAGGTCTTTGGCTTGGTAGACTACCTCGGGGAGAACCAGGAGGTGAAGGATGATGGCAATCAAGACCGCGTTGATTGCTTTGCGGACAAGGGCAGTATGGCCACGAAAGATGGACTTGGATTTCACAACCAGGCCTGCTTGTTTGGCTGTTGTCTCTGCAGACGAACCAGCGTCTGCATCTCCAGCTTTAGCGCCGGTCCGGTCCTTCTCTCGCTGCTTTGCACTGTTCGGCATGGAAACTTTGCGTCGTTTTCTCATGATTTCGGAGCCTTGCTGCTTCGGACTCCGTACATATTCTACCCATGACCCTTCTACATTGGGCGTTTCGCAGATAGAGGGCATGATGAGTTCCGGGCCTGATATGGTCCATGATGATGACGATGAGGATGTCAGCGACTGCGATGCCGGGTCGGTCGTCTTTGTGGTTGCTTTGCTGCTTTCATGCCGGGCATTTGGAGTTTTGGTGGGGTCTTCTTTTTCCTTCAGAGAAGCAGTTGATGCCATCACCCAGGATTCGCCAAGAGTCGGGCGATCTGGGGTAGGCTGTTCTGTAGACATGGCGTAAACATTTCAAGACATGCACTTTGTGTAATAGTTAATATGTTCTGTAGTTAATATCTCACTCGGACTCGAGTGTTTCAACAAATGTTTTGAATGCGACTGGCTCAAGCAGACCGATGCGCGCGTAAAGCGGTGGGGAAGAAAGATCGGAGAAACCACCGCGGCCGAGGACTTGAGAATCTTCAGCAACCATGCGCTCACTGCTTCGCCTGAGACCGTCCCTAACGCCTGGCGTTAAATCCCTGCCATGGCAATTTATACGATCGCGACCGCTGTCATACACAGCGATTCGCCATTGCTCGTGTTCTGACAAACCCGAAGCTCCAACGCTACCTCCCACCGACCACCGAGCTCTCGGAACAGCCCAAGAGCTCTTCACATCTTCAGTCTACAGTCCTGGATCTCCTCTGTTCCTCCCAAATGGTACACACGTCTTCAACAAACTCATCTCTTTCCTCCGCACCCAATACCTACAATACGGCTTCCGTGAAGTCTTGACCCCAACCATCTACAAAAAGTCGCTCTGGGAGATATCGGGCCACTGGCAGAACTACAAGGATGATATGTATGAGGTCACTGGCCGTGGAGCTAGTGGTGAGACTGAGGGTGAAGTGGGTGAAGACGAATCCTACGGTCTGAAGCCAATGAACTGTCCCGGCCACTGCCTACTCTTCAAGTCGCAAAATCACTCCTACCGCGACATGCCGGTTCGCTATGCAGACTTTAGCCCGCTGCACCGCAACGAAGTATCCGGTTCGCTTACAGGCCTCACGCGCGTACGCCGCTTCCATCAGGATGATGGTCATGTATTCAGTCGACCGCAGCAGATTAAATCGGAGATCAAATCCGCATTAGGATTTGTGGACATGGCTATGAAGACCTTCGGACTCGGCCCGTACCGATTAGTGTTGTCGACTCGACCTGAGCAGGATTATATTGGGACTTTGGAGATGTGGGACAATGCCGAGATGCAATTGCGCGAAGCTCTGGATAGCACTGGACGCGAATGGGCGCTAAATGAAGGCGATGGTGCGTTTTACGGCCCCAAGATCGACATTCAACTCCAGGATCAAGCTGGAAAATACCACCAGCTGTCTACTATTCAATTGGACATGAACCTCCCACAGCGCTTTGAGCTGGAGTATCAAGTTGCAGAGGGTGAGCCAGACTACAATCCTGCCACACCCGGAGTTGCAACTCCAGTTTTGATCCACCGTGCCATCTTCGGCTCATTGGAGCGATTTCTGGCGTTGCTGATTGAACAGCACGGTGGTCACTGGCCATTCTGGCTTTCTCCGCGCCAGGCCATTGTCCTGACAGTTAATCAAGATGATGCCGTGGTGCGCCAGGCTCAGGAAGCGGCAGCCAAGTTCGCTGGTTTCCGCGCATTGGTGAATGATGGTACCACCGAGTCACCTCGTCCACTGTCCTCTGTCGACTCTACGTTCTTGGTTGACGTCGATACCAGCGCGCAGACCCTGGGCAAGAAGATTCAGCGAGCCAAACAGATGAAGTATAACCTCATCTTCATTCTCGGATCCCGAGACCTAACCGAAGGCGGTATCACCGTTGATATCACTGGTCAGATGCAGAGCAAAACAGATAAAGACGCTCAGACATTGCAGGCGCTGATCAAAGCCAGACTAGGTGATGATGCGCTCCAGAATCCTCGAGCTGTTAAACTTAGTTTGGACGAGGTTCATCCGCTATTGGTTGAACTCGAGAAGAACTTTGTGTAACTTTGTATGTTGTATAACATGTGTGTTGGCATTTTGAGCGTGCCTGACTATTTTTACTCCTATTATTGTATATTAAACCGATCTTTCGCCGAATTCCAGTTCTCATTCCAACCGATGCACATCAATCGATTGCCACAAAACAATGCCTGCGGCTATCCTCGGAGTTGATGCCTTAAGGCAGAAATATCTCCGATGTTCGGGGTCCCCCTATGGAGACAGGGAGAGTAGATACTTGTCGCAAATGGCTGTAAAGTGAAAGGAAAGGGGAGATAAATGAGATAAATAAGACAAATAGACACTGGGAATCTACCAGCAGTATTTCCAGCTCATCATCAAGTTAATAATTGTAGATCCATCGCGCCCTTCGAGTAATGTACATATCACGTGACTCCGCTGTCGGCGCCGAAAAAACTCGGCGTCATTGACGGGCCCATTTGAGTCACAGCATATTCCCCATTCTTAATTGGCCTTCTTTTTCTTTTTGGCTATAAAAGAATCCCCGTGTCCATATTTTGAAAGCCAATTTTTGCATTTAATCAAATCTATCTTGAATCTGCTTGGCCTTCTTACAACGAACACTTTACCTTTTATCGTCTCTTATCCACTCGCCCCCGCGGTACCCCGCCAACACCATGCCGATGTATGTTGGAATGACTCTTGGCTCGAAATTTGGTGTTTATATATACTAATCTTTTAAAAGGCTCAAGGATCCCTCAAGAAAGTATAAGCCTTTCAAGCCGCTGAATCTGCCAAATCGCCAATGGCCCAACAAAGTTATTGATAAGCCTCCTCGCTGGCTGGCGACCGATCTGCGTGATGGCAACCAGTCTCTGCCCGACCCAATGGTATGATCTGATGTTCTGTTCGCCGCTATTTTCCCATGTTAATTGGATTGGTTCTATAGGATGGCGAACAAAAATACCGTTTCTTCAAGATGCTCGTGGATATCGGCTACAAGGAAATTGAAGTGTCCTTCCCGTCCGCATCCCAGACGGATTTCGATTTCACCCGCCGTCTAGTCGAAGAGCCCGGTCTCACACCCGATGATGTCGCCCTGCAGGTCCTAGCGCCCTGCCGTGAGGACCTCATCCGTCGCACAGTCGATTCCCTGAAGGGCGCCAAGAAGGCTATTCTCCACATCTACCTCGCAACGAGTCCCTGTTTCCGTCGGATCATCTTCAACATGGATCACAAGCAGAGTCTGGATCTGGCTGTTAAGTGCACAAAGTACGCCCGCTCTATCACCAAGGACGACCCTTCCCAGGCTGGCACAGATTGGCAATTCGAGTTCTCCCCCGAGACTTTCTCCGATACTGAGCCCGAGTTCGCCGTGGAGGTCTGCCAGGCTGTTAAGGCTGCTTGGGGACCCACGGAGGATAAGCCCATTATTTTCAACCTGCCCGCTACGGTAGAGATGGCCACCCCCAATGTCTTTGCTGATCAGATTGAGTACTTCTGCACAAACATGACTGAGCGCGAGAAGTTCGTTGTTTCAGTTCACCCGCATAACGATCGTGGCTGTGCTGTTGCTGCAGCTGAACTGGCACAGATGGCTGGTGCTGAGCGTGTAGAGGGAACTCTGTTCGGTAACGGTGAGCGTACTGGAAACGTGGACCTGGTCACTCTCGCCCTGAACCTGTACACACAAGGTGTCTCACCAGGCGTCGACTTCTCAGACATCAACTCTGTCATCAAGGTGGTAGAGGAGAGCAATAAGATTCCCGTCAATGAGCGTGCGCCATATGGTGGTCAGCTCGTGGTGTGCGCATTCTCTGGAAGGTTTGTTTTCTTTTCCCCCTTAAGTTCATTAATTTCGCTAACCTGGTTTGAAATTTAGCCACCAAGATGCAATCAAGAAGGGCTTCAAGCTGCGCGAAGAGGGCGAGGGTGCAGACGAGGACACCGAATGGACAGTCCCGTACCTGCCCCTGGACCCTCAAGATATCGGCCGTACCTACGAGGCAGTTATCCGCGTCAACTCCCAAAGTGGCAAGGGTGGTGCCGCCTGGGTTATCCTGCGCAGCCTGGAGCTGGATCTCCCTCGCGCGCTGCAGGTCGAGTTCAGCAAGATCGTGCAGGAGAAGACCGAGGCTGTCAGCCGGGAGCTGAAGCCTACCGAGATCGTCAACCTCTTCGAGGAGGCCTACCACCTCAAGTCAAACCCTCGCTTCACCCTTATCGACTACAGCATCACCACCGACCGCTCGCAGTCCCCTGCTCCCCCGAGCCCGGCAAGGCCCTCAACACCAAGAACCTCAAGCGTCGCTTCACCGGTGTTATCGAGATCGACAATATCCAGCACGCCATCACCGGTGTTGGCCCAGGTGCTATCTCCTCCCTGGCTACCGCACTTTCCTCCCTCGGTATCGATCTCGATGTCCGCGACTACAAGGAACACTCCATTGGTCGCGGTCGTGATACAAAGGCTGCTACATACATTCAGTGCACAGCAGCCGGCAGCAATCAACAGGTGTGGGGTGTTGGTATCCACCAAGATGTGGTCCAGGCCTCTCTGATTGCGCTGCTCAGCGCCGCCAGCTCGGTAAGATCTGATCTTTGAGATTTGTCTGCATTTCATCACTAACATGCGTTTAGTTCCTCGCCTCCCGTGCTGGCTCTCCTGCTCCTTTCCGTCCCATCCGCTCCAACACCCTTACAAACGAGGACATCCAGGCTCTCGAGCAGCTGGCCGGTACTCCCGAGGCTGCCACATCTAATGGCGGCCTGAGTGCCAAGGTTAACATCGAGCAGCTGACAACACAGGCTGGAAAGATGTAAATTAATTTTTTTGGAAAAAAAAGCCAATGCCTAAAAGTGATAGCAATAATGTGAATACCATGATCAATTCGAGAGTTTTCTTCAATAACGAAATCTACTCAGATGTAGCATCGACTTGGTTGAATATAGTCGTAAAGTGAGAGTCATGACTTTTCATTGCCGCTATTTACGCATATCAACAGATATCCCCAACACATGTCAAGCCATAAAAGACCAGAGACATCAAAGCTCACCACCTAAACAACTCATCCCATCCCCATCCCCTCTTCGTGCTGGCCCCATAAGAATTGAACGTCTGCGGCCCCTCCGCCGAAATAATATACCCATGCTCACAAGACGAGAACGATACCTTTGGCTGGTTCGCGTAGAAAGTATCAAACCCGGAATCCAGCGCATCGGCAAGACTGTTCACTTTACCGGCTGGGTGCAGCTGTCGCCAGGGGTATCGACATGCATCGCCTTCGCAGGACTTGAGCACGAGCATCAGTGCATCTAGCCGTGCTATTATTTGTGGCAGCTCGCGATTTGCGATCTTGTAGTTGGGGTGTTTGGCTGGGTGTGTGCCTAGATTCACGGTTTGATGGGGGTCACCCTGTTTTACGGTGTTAGGGCTTGTTGCTGGATACACTTTAGGACAACAGGGGATGACTTACTTTTAGATCGAAGAATTCTTTCTCGTTTGTGCACCATACTGCATAGTATAGACTATAGTCATTGGAAACTAGTCGGATTCCCTTGTAGGTGTTTCTCTGGTAGCTGTTATGTGGTTGGTCGAGCTTGTCGCTGGCATACCCGTAGATTCCTTCTGGTACAGCCTATATTCAATGTTAGCCGGTTCCTTTGATATGCTCTTGTTATAACAATTACTCACCAGTCCCCAGTACTCAATGGCAACATGCTCGGTCCTATTGTCCGCCGTGCTGGCGGCAATGGTAGTAGGAATCTTCTTACCATCCAATCCATCTCGAGTCGCCCCAGCTATATTCAAGAAAGTAGGAGCAAGGTCCGTATGCGAAGTGATAGCATCCAGAGTCTGATTCTTGCCAATACCAGGGCCTCGGACGATGAGAGGGACGTTGATATCGGTTTCTATAGAGTTAGCATCCGTAGCTACACAACTGAGACAATTTAGACCAACTCACCATAACCACAATTCTTGCCAGGCTGCATCCGATGCTGACCAAGATGATATCCATTATCCGTCGAAAAGAAGATATAAGTATTATCCAATTCCCCGACTTTCTCCAACTTCTCAACAAGCTTCCCAATCATCTCGTCAACAGCCTGCAAAGCCCGCAGTCGACACCGCTGGAACTCATCAATATAATCAATATGCGTCTGATTTAACTCAGGCACATTCTGCACCCAGCTAACCGCATTCTCAATCAACGTATTAAAGCTCTCATCGCGCGGCGCCTGCACATCCTTAAATAAATCCGCATGTCGCGGCGCAAACTCGGGCTCACCAAACCAGTTCGCGTTCCGCGTAGAATCATGAGACCCATTTGAGTGCGGCGCGTTCGGCGCAACCGTCAGCATCCAGGGTTGTTCGTGCTTAACTGCCTCGTCGATGAAACCCTCTGCTTTTTCGGCAATCACGTCTGTCGAGTACTGTCCGTCGTACTTAACTGGTGCTGCTCCATTGCGCGTCATCCGTGCGTACCAGTATCGGTATGTGTACGGATCTAGGAGGAAGTCTGAGCCGTTGAACCCTCGTACGTAGGGAGCGTTGTAGTTGTCTTCTGTGTGTGCGTTCCACATCTTGCCCACGTAGTAGGTGTTGTAGCCTGCTTCTTGCATCCATAGTGGGAGGTAGTTGTCGTTCCAACCGGCCGAGACTACTTTTGGGTAGCCGCCGTAGGGTAGTCCGACGTCAGTTACGTTGGTGTTGTGCGGCATGCGGCCGGTCCAGAGGTTGGCTCGGGAGGGACAGCATAGTGCGATTGAGCAGAAATGTTTGGAATAGCTTGTTCCTTGTTGAACGAGGGTTTCCTGGCTAAAGTTTTAGAATCGGGGAAAGTAGGGCGTGGATGGAATGTGAATATAGACTCACCTGCAGCTTGGGCATGTGCTCTAAACCGCCCACATATTTACCCTGATCGTCCGTTAGAACGAAGAGAATATTAGGCTGCTTGGCAACGACCAGAGTTGTCAACAGCAGTAATCTTAGTAAGTCCATGGCTGCAAAATTGATGTTATTCACTCAGCTTGAGAGCTGGGGGCAGCTATATACCTCGGTTTAGTTGTTCAGCGTCTCGAAGCACTGCGTCATGGGTAAAGATAAAAGAGCTGTTGTGTGATTTCTCCATAGAATGGCATATTATCGATCATCGAGATAGACATGGAAATGCTGTACAACGTACATGATCGGCAGGTCGGTGATAGGTTGGAAGTTATGGGGGAAGTCGATCAGTCGGAGTACAATACAACAGACAACAGACAGACGTGGAGTATAAAAAAGATCGGCGATTGCGAGCTTGCGGACGTCGATGGTGTTAGGGTGGGTCGAGGTAATAATGATCAACAAAAAGAATTTTATCTACAACATGCGAAGAAAAGATATACTGGGTATGTACAAATTGCAATCATAGAGCTAAGGTATTGGGGATAAACCGGATAAAGAAGACGCAATGCTGGAAAAATCATCAGAACTATCAAGCGAACACGCTATGGGCAGCGTTTTCAATGGCAACAAGTCATTTCAAATCTACAATGCATGCGCTCAATCCAAGTTCAAGCCTCGTAGTTGCCTATGAGGTGCAGCATTGTTGCTGCCCGTGCGGTGGAAGTCATGTCCGTTTTCTGCACCTAGTGCCGACTGGTACATGAGAGCTTCTTGGGGCCAATCGTCGACTCTCCCGCTGTCCTGTGTGCCTGGACGTGCTGGCTCAGCATGGGCTGTGCCAATAGGCTGGCCATTGTTTTGGTTCCATCCCTGATGGGTAGGAAGTGGCTCTCGTCCCGTCGAGGGGTGCTCACCACTAGGATATCCATACGATTGAGACTGGACCGGGGTGTCGGCCATATCAAAACTGAACCGGAAATCCCGGTCCGCATTGGCGGTGCTCGCGGTGGAATCCAATGTGTCATAGTGGTGATCGTCAAACTCGGTTACAATCGTGGCGGACTGTGGCTCCTTGATGTGAGGCACACCGGGGTTAGGCTTCGGGACAGGAGTGGCAGCCACACTATTGTCGGTGGCACTTCCAAGTTCATGCGGCATAGACCCAGCGCGGTCGCCGTGATAACTAGCCGCGGGATGACTGGTCTCTACCAGTGTCACCCCAGCTGGAGAGCGAGGGACACCCGCGTCGATGTCCGGATTCATTGTAGACTGTCGGATGCTGGTGCCCATGGTGCTTCCAGGCTTGGAAGCCCGGCTCATACGATGCTGAGGCAGGTCCGCAAATGGGCTATCACCCTCCAGGTCACGAATGCTGAACTGAGCAATGGTTCGTAGCTTCCGGGTAACCCACGACGCGAGGACCTTTCCGCGCTGCTTCTCGCCCAGACGGGAGCGGGGGAAGTCGCCGCGGGAGACGAATGCGACAATATCCGCAACAACCTGGTGCTCCATGAGGATAGCATCAACAATAACGGGGACAAGGGCGGCTAGATAGGCCTTGCGAGTAACCTCCACAACAACGACAACCAAGCCACCGGCTTGGAAAATAGCACTGAGAATGTCATGTTAGCCTCTATGTCTGATTTGAGAAGAATGCTATTTACTTACCATCCTCCAGTCACGATGTTGCGGTGGCAATTCTCTACGGAGTTTTCAATGTCCATAGGGAAGTGGTTGAGTCCATTGACTTCGAACGTCTCGCCGATGCTGCCAAGGAGGAACAGTACTTGCATATCAACTGGCTGGCCGCCAGGACCGATCGGCCGAGTAACAGTGTGAAGGAAACCAAGATCACCAGTACGGACATATGGCACGCTGGGATCGCCGTCTGCAACTCTGCCGTTCAACCGCTCCGAGTCAAATTCTTGCTTTGATTTGTAGAATCCCTGAGCGCAAGCGTCGGACTGGACCCAGATCTCGCCGTACTCTCCAACATGTGCAAGAGTGCAGGTCTCCGGGTTAACAATCGCAATCTGCGTGTTAACTGGTACCATACCCGAATCCTGCAGCAAAAGCGCGGTGGGATCGGCATCGGGGTCTACGGGGTAGATAAGACCTTGACGGAGGCTTCGCAAGTCGAGCCATAGCTCGATCGGTTCAATGCACATGTATGACCGTGTGGTAATCATCGGGTTGAGAACGTGCGAGTAAATGACGTTGATCGAAGTACGGTCCAAGCTGGCGTTGGCGAAATGTAGGCGTACCTTTCCATCTGTGTAATCGGATTAGCTTCTTTTCCTGGTAGTGAGAGTGATGACACGTACAGATATCTGTTCTAGGTCGGCCCTCTGCGGAAATCATGAGGTTCTTCAATTCTTGAAGCTGGAAGCCTTTTCCAGCCATAGCACTCATCGCATAGTCCAACATCTGACTGGTGGCGTAAGTGTCCTTGATCTTGTATCGAGCAAGTGTTACGAAGAGTGTCATTGGGTTTTGAGCGAAGTCGACTGGCGAAACAAGATATGTAGGTGCACCTGGGGTAGGACGTTAGAGTGGAAATCATTATAGGTTAACAGCAAACTTACCGACGAAAATACCCATCAGGCAAGTGTGTAAAAATCCTAGACCCAGGGTACTTCGGACGCTTCCAAGCACTGGCCTCGAGCTTGTCATTTGGCATGTTTCTTTTTGAACCTTGCACATGCCCATGATGGTTTCATGGGAAATCTGGACCGAGATTCTTCGCTGATCTGGGGTCCAATACGTCCAAACCAGAGCGGGCTGGTTGGCTTGGAGCCAGGTATCCTTCACAGTATAGCCGAGCTCGCGACATCCGTGGGACTGCTTCGAGGGCTTTGTGGTGTTGTAAATAGCAGGTACACCAATGCGAAGAACTTGGGCGGACTGCTTGATATGTTGTGACACAAGCTTCTGCCTCATGACATGGTCAACCTCGGTATTGACGATGATGGCCTTGAC